ACACTGCAATCTGATATGCTGATACTTTAAATAAAAGAAATTCTGGGTAATGTGATGTGGTGAGTGTGGGGGCAGGTTATGAAGTAATAATTTGTATCTGACTGTTTCTGTTTGATTCCTGTAAGATACGACTTCATCCAAGAAAAATAATAAATGAGTAATAGATGTCTGGTGGAGCCTGCATGAGCACATTTATGTAGACAAAGCAGAGGCATCCTGTGTTTACAGCATTCACACGAGGTTGGTCTTGAACTTTTGCCCCAGTTTTTGTGGGATTTTGGCAGACAGGGGTTTACACGTATGACATGCACAACACCAAAAACACACAAAAACACACAAGCCTCCATTCTCTTTCTCAGTTCCTCATTTCTTATCTTTTCCTTGTCTGCTCGTTGGTCTCTCACATGCTCTGCCTCTCATTTCCACATATGTAGTTAAACGCTGCCATCTCCTCTGCTCTAATCAAACCCACATGGTTTGGTCGGTCAGCATGCCAGCAGCCCACAGTGCTGCACACACTTTTGGCTGTGAATGTGTGCGTCACTGTGGCTGTTTGTTGTGCAGTTGCTGTGCACATCACACAAAGCAGTGGCTCCCAAACCTTTTGGCTTGTGACCTCTTAAACTCCAACATCCTTTTGCATCTGTGTCACACTTTGAATGTGTCAGACGTGATATATGTCTTTGAGCTGTGACTGGTTTTTGCATTGCACAATGTAAGAGGTAGATCTGTCCAGTAATTCACAAGGAAAGTGCAAAGATTAGAGAAAGTGACACCACTATGTGTCACAGAAATGTTTTTTCTTCTTTCCTGTCCAGTTAATCTTCCCTCGACCTGTCAGATTCATTTTACAACCCCTTGGGGAGGCCTTGACCATTACACAGACGCAGAGTTAAATCATAAGAGAAAGATACAGCAATCTGTGGTGGCACTTTTGTCTGCATGCATTTGCACTTCTTGTCCAGTGGCTTCCTCTGAGGGTAAAGGCCAGTGATAATGACTTCCAGGAGTTGGCGATGGGGAAGGCCAGGGTCAAGTTCACATCTGGGATTACCAGGGTTACTGGGGTGAGCGCTTTTTACTGGAGGTCATCAGGATGATTAAGTGGAGAATGCCACTGAAGTGTGACTTTACTACAGGCTGATCACGCACGTTCACACGTACAAGTTCCAACTTGTGCAGACATGTTGCTCCTTCTCAAAAACTGTGATTGCAACATGTATGTGATAGGGGCCACATTTGGGATAGGACACCACTGTATTAAACACACAGCACAAGTTGCCACCATATTACACTAAAGGGAGCCATTTGTATGTTTTGCCATTGGTAGATAGGCAACCTTAGCATTAACAGTGGTTGTATGATGGGTGAAGTTTCCCCTTCCACACCGAGATAGTGGTTCTTTGGGATAATAAACAGTCTGTGGACAGTCTGGATGTTGCTCAGATATGGTTCAAATCTGTGTCATTTGAATGAGGGGAGGAAATAGGAAACAATAAACTGCACAAGAGGAAGTAAGTGTGCAGGAGATATGGTACATTTCACCTCAGTGAAAGTGTTGGTACAAGACTCAGCCTGATTTGAATGAGGCACAGTCCTCACAAATCCAAATAGAGAGACAGAGAGAGAGAGAGAGAAATACAGATAATTATGGTCTCTCTACTGCTACTGATTTAACTGGATCTCAAGTACAGATTTTATTTATATATTGAAAATTATGAATTTGTAGTTGTCTGATTAAATTATAGCAGAAAGAAATTAAGGGAAATACATCAAATATAGAGATCTTTAAATGTCAAGGCTGCAACTATCAACTTTTGTTATTGTTGTTTCATCAAGTATTTTTTTTTTTCATTAACCATTTTGTCTGTATGATGTCAGAAAATAGAGAGAAATGCACATCTCAGTTTTCCAAAGTCCAAGGAGTGGCCTTCAAATCACTTCTTTTGTCTGACCTACAGTCCAAACCTAATAGATTCCGTTTCACACGATATAAAGGAGGGAAATACATCAAATCCTCAATTTGGAGAGGCTGGAAACACCATGATTATCCAAGCAGTCAGCGATGCAATTTCTTTCAACTAATCATTTCAACACTATAAAATATTATTTTAAGTATCAGGTTTCCCAAAAGGGAAAACTCCCCTTTTCTTCTTCTATATTATTACTGCTGTTTATTCCCCTTAATCTTCCTAGTAACGCTGAGTGTCTTTGCTGTGAACTCAGGCTGGTAAGAGTCGATCATTATTGTGTACAAGTCATAATAGACTTTGTTTCGTTTACACGTGGTACAGCCTGTAAATCTTTGTGTTGGCAGTTGTGAGATCAGTTACCAACAAAGATCTTGTTTTTAGAGAGAACACAGAAAGATGAAGATAACAAAACAAAAGAAGTGAACAGTATTCGTGTAAAAAATAGCTGGAAGAGAATATAAGGAAATGAAGATGAGTGAAATAAAGTTGGCAGCAGAGAAGCAAACTAATACTTTCCTGTGCCTCCAAAGACAGAGGAGTCTCTCTTTACATATCTGTCGTCTTCATTCTTTCACTGTTTCTCAACCTCTCCGTCTCTGTCACTATCTGTTTGCCTTTGATCTCCTAGCTCTCTCGGTCTCTGTCTCTCTTTGCTGACTCACTCTCCCTATCCTTTTCTCCACAACAAGGAGATAAAAAATGACCTGCACTCCAGTCTCTAACTTTCTCACTAACTTTCCCCCCTTTTCTTCTTCTCCTTTCCATCCTCTCCCCTTCTGTTTTCTCCTTCTCCCTCTCTTCAACGTGCTTGAGGAATGTGTCAGAGCAGCACAAAAGAACAAAAGCTTGACAGGAGGAGGAGGAGGAAGAAAAGGAGGAGAAGGGTGGTGAGGAGTGGGGGAGAGAAAGTTGCGTGAGGTAAAGGAGAGGCAGAAAGGAAAAGGGGGAAATGGAGGGAAGGAATGAGCAGAGAGAGAAAGGTTGAGAGGAGCAGAGCATGGTTGAATGGATCTGAATACTGAGCGGTGCTTTGTCATCACGTGCTGACATACAGCATCACACACATTTCAGAGCTCTTTATCAAGCCTGCCCTCTGCACAGCACACACACAAGATGGGTGAGGCTGTCAGTGTGCTATACTGCACGGATGCCTGTTTGATTCAGTGGCCTTTGATGCATTTCTTGTTTTTTCATGGTATTATGCTAAAGGCCTGCGGCGAGGCTGAAGATGAATTTTCCCCCAACACAGACAGCTCTCTATTGTAACCTTTGTGTTTGCATCAGTCACTTTCAAACTGGGGGCATGATCAATTCCCTTTTTTTCTGAACAGACCATGTTCGACAGACCACCATGGCAGCAGTAAGTCAGACTAATGCTGTGCTTTAACATTTAGACTGCATTAGATCTGGACCCACCTGGCCTGTAAATGATACTTTTCTGCTTTCATCTGACAGATTGTTTTGTTTCAGTACCGTCAGAGCAAACCCTTAAAGGGTTAACAAATGCAAGACAGCGACAAAGAGTGACTGACAGGAAAAAAAAGAGATAATGGGAGACTGTAGTGGGAATATAGCTCTGATATGGCTAGGATCACCTCTGCTGTTTGGACCAGGAGGAACTTGTGAGGACATGCTGTGATTGTGGCATGGTGTGTGGCCAAAGAGGTGTGTGTGTGTGTGTGTGTGTGTGTGTGTGTGTGTGTGTGTGTGTGTGTGTGTGTGTGTGCGCGTGTGTGTGCGTGTGTGTAAGAAGGAAACAATGTGAACAAGCTTTGTTCACATCAAACGGCCCCGCCGGCCGATGCAAACCGCTGGATTTGGATACAGGTCTGTGCGTAAAAGCGCATATCGCGTTACCTTATATCAATCTGAGACTGTTATATAGCCTACCATTGTTCGTCAGTGTGTCTTTGTATAAGTCTGACACTGAGCCGATGTATTAGTGTGTGTGCGTGAAGCCTATATGGCTTACTGAGGGACCTTCTCCTGATTTCCTCCCCTCCTTCCTGCAAGTCGCCCGGGTTACCTCGCGCTAATTCGCCGTGCAGTGTAGCGGATGGGATCATCCATCAAGAGTCAATAGTTAACGTCGGCTTTGTCCCGTTACCATCCATCATCAGCGCGTGCGTGCGTGTGCGCATGCATACAATGCGTGTGTGTGTGTTCTTTATAGGACTACCTCCGACCCCGCGGGCCCCTGACCCTGGCCTGTCTGACGCGCTGTTCCAAATGCCCCCGCGTCTCCTCCTCTCCTCCTCCTTGCTCCCTTCTCTTCCGTCCGAACAGCGGGAGGCAAAAAGCTCTGAGCAGACACCGCCGACCTGCGCCAATCCCACCTCTTATTTTAATCTCCTTCTTTCTGTCCTCCCCCCTCATGGGTTCGTGGTGTTTTTTCCTCTGACGCGGGCCCCGTTAAATGGATAGTCCACCGGTCGAGGCCAGAAGCTGTATCCCATTACCACCGCTTTTATTTTTATGACACAGCGCGGTGGCGCACAGGAGGCTGGGGGTGAACGTGGCCTCTCTCTCTTCTCACAAGTGCACGCACACGCACACGCACACACCGCTCTGCCATCCATTCAGTCTGCCGGTCTGGCAGTTGACTGGTTCTTCCTTCGCACCGCCCTGCCAAGACGACATGTTCTGTCAACAGACTGGCCTGGCTACATCCTCCCTCTTTTGCACTAATAACGTTCACTGCACTGATGTCATTCATTCAACCAAGGCACTGTTGTCTGTATCTCAATAGCAAAACACATCATACACCTAAATATTTTATATATTATATTCAGTGGCTTCTCCAAAGCGCACAGGACCATCGGAGCGCGGTCACTATCGCTGATTCAAGGTACGCGCTTGGACGAGTGGGGCAGCTCTGCGGCGCACATGCTGCCTGCAGAGGCGTGGTCAGGTTGAGGTCCGTGCCAGTTGGCCCTCCGGGGCGTGTCCGTATAGAAAGGGGCGTGTGCATCCCTACACAAGTACCTTTGCTTTCCGTGCCATTCATTTGGAGCGCAGCACCTTATAACGTGCGCCGGCACATAGATGAGAAAAGAGCCCTGACAGTCGGCCACTCATCCCTGTAAGAGGGCAGAAGTAACTGGACAGACAGAGTCGGACCGACGGACGCGCCCACACACCCAGACCAGACGGGACAAGTGAAGCTTTTTGAGGCACAGACGCGCACGAACAGCAGCGCAGGGGCCAGACTTGGACCTGACAGTTCACCTACATTTATCCGCAAACTACCCGCAGCCTATAGCATGGAGCGCAAAATCCCCGATTTCTCCGGCACCTGGGAAATGAAGAGCTCTGAAAACTTCGAGGAGCTCTTGAAAGCGTTGAGTAAGTGATGGAAGTTATAATTAAAAACTCTCCATGGCCTAATGTAGCAGCTTGATTCATTTGTTTTTGCGCAAGAGTGGTTTCTCACGAAGCTTTTATTTCTGTGCATGATGACACAGATCAGATGTGTCAGCTCAAACTGTGGCGTTCTCAGCACATTATAGGTCAAATCTTTCTCTGTGTCCGTGCACCAGCGAGGATCACCCTCTGTACCGCATGGGTGGGTAGTGGGTGGTGGTGGTGGGAGGGGGGAGTCTTTGTCATTCTGCACAACCCAAAACTCTGTGCTTGGCCCCTAGCCAGCCTCACCCCTCTTTCTCTCCTCTCCCCCTTTGGCCTCCCCTGCTAACACAATAGAGACAAACGGCGGCACATCTGTCTGTGTCACAGACCCAGATTGTGTGTGTGTGTGTGTGTGTGTGTGTGTCTCTGTTGATGAGGACCGTTATGACACGATACAGTGCAGGACAGTCGCATCCTTATCTGAAGTGACAGTCGGGGCTAAGAACAAACACCTGCTGCTGAGATTCAGTGTTTGGTCTGCGTCTGTGCCCCATCACTGCTACAATTGTAGTCTGGGCAGGCGTCAGTGCGTGTGTGTGTGTGTGTGTGTGTGTGTGTGTGTGTGTGTGTGTGTATACATGCGGGCGCGCAGAGTCAGAGCCGTCTGTCGTTAGTAGCCAATTCCCATTGGATGACTTGCCAGTGCACACCTGGAATTCATATCATCATGTCTCTATCTCTCCCACACCCACACACACATTTATGGAGGTTAATAAATAGCTGTCAAATGACACTATTGTTCTGAATATAGACACATCACCACTGAGCCAGAAAAAACAAATTCCAATTTTCCTGTTTGACAGATGCACCAATTAGCCTTTAATGTGCCTGTAATTCTTTCTGTTCATCTCCATCCCCTTCTGTCTGTGTGTGAGAGAATGATAGAGGCAGAGTAAGATTGAGTCTGAGTGTGTGTCAGCGGAGTTTAACATTGCATTCCTCCTGCAGTTGCTCCATTATTTCTTGAAAAAGAATTTTTTTCTTAAAAGAGTACACACACACACACACACACACACACACACACACACACACACACACACACACAGCCAAAGACATGTATCACAGCATGTTCCTATAATGTCCCTGTGCATTGGTATGACTGACAGGGAGGAATGGCCCCTGGTTTCATTGGGGGGCAGAGCGCAGCTGGACGCAGCCTGTCAGCACCCACCCTCCTCCTTCCCTCCATCCTTTCTTCCTTTCCTCACTCCTGCTCTTCTCCCCTCTTCCCTCATCTCCCCGTGTCCCAAATGCTTCCTCTGCCCTCTGCTCTTTGACCTCTGACCCTGACCCTGACCGTCTGTCTATCTGTGTGAGTGTGTGTGTCCTCATGTGGGCAGACTTTTGCAGGTTTGCAAAAGTCTCTCCAGGTAATTTCTAACTTCCAACAACTGGCAGTTACTTGAGAAGCTTCAGCTCCCTCTGTGGCTCCCAAATGGTCCACAGGCCAGCAATTTACTCCTGTGTCCAAGCCAACAGACTGAGGTCAGTTACTGTCTGCAGGTCAGCTTGCTGCCTGAAATAATCTAAACCTTTAGCAAGGACACTTTCCTCAAGCAGTACATTTTCAACAAAGATTTCTGCAGCAAGGTTTTTGTAACAATGTACTGTGTTCAACTCCAGATCAATTTTACTCACCGTTCAAAGTTCACCCTTATTTATACAAAAAATTAATAAAATAAATTAATTGATTTTTTAAATTTTTTAATTATTTTTGTTACTCAACAATTGCCAAATGGAAGCCCGTCTATAAGGCTGCAACTAACTCTAATTTCCACAATCCGTGAAATTTTTCTTTCAATTAATTGATAAATCATTTCAATTGTTTCAAACGTGACAACATGGTACAAATTGCTCATCACAATTTTCCAGAGTCCATTCTGACATCTCATAATTGCTAGTTTGCAACACTTGTCATTTAAAGTTGTATAAAACAGAAATAACTTTTTTAAAAACTGGAGCAAGCACATGTTTGACATTTTCGCCCAAGTTAAATGAATAATTGATTATTAAAATGGGTGGAAATGAATTTTACACTCCACACTACACAGAATGGCCCATATTTGAATCATTATTATATTGTATAAACATGCAACCACCATTTTAATGTTGTTAATTGTAATGATGGGACTTTAACTACTTTATGTACAATTGGATGGTTTAATTTATAACAATGCGTCACATTTTATCAACAGCTTATATTTCTCAAACTTCAGTATTTCCCTGTGAAACGCAGAGGAAAAGTACAAATTCCTAAAAAAAGCATTTTAGCACAGCACAAAAAAACAACAACAAAAAAACAAGAAACAAAGTGCCTAAAGTGTTTCATTTTTTAGCGATGTCCCTACACTTTCACTTTACACAATGCAATTTGCATGAAATTCACACTAGACAATGACAATGCACATGCATACTGTGCTGTGTGCGCTCTACATGCAGTGCACACAGTGAACAGCATGGACATCCTGATGCATGCTGAATGACTGTGCATTTCTGAGTGTGTATATATTTACCCTTGGTGACAGGTGGGAATGTGAGAGAGGTGAGAAGTGCGAAACCCAACTCGACGGCAGATACATGCTGAACGACGTACACACACTTCCCCTCACACTTGGACAGAGATCTTCACACACCACACACAGACCGTTGCCCCTCATCTGTCTGGCTCCCCCCTCCTCTCTCCTCCTTCCACACCGATCTGCTCCTTGCTCATCTCTTTTCCCACGCTGTATCATCAGTTTCGCTCCTTCCCTTTTTCAGATACACAGTATCTGACAAAGCTTTCCCCTCTCCTATTTTCTCTCAAAATATTTATTCTCATTCTTATACTTATACTGCAATATCTGAACTAGGAGCTGTAAGTTGTGCAAAAAAGATAATTAATCAGAGTTTAGGTGGCTTAGCATCATCTAAATCCCTGCTCTCTCCCTGCTTCCTGCTGTATTTTATAACAAACACATACATTACCATACACACACACACACAGAGGGGATGAATATACTACAACTATAACTCTTGTCAGACTACTGTATCACTCTGTGTGAATATGGGTGCTTTCTTGCTTTCTGTGTTTGTGGAAGGTTAAAAAAGTGATTTAACTATAAATATATTCAAACTACAGACCATAGAGTACGAGTCACCATATAAGTCTGTCAGTCTGAGTCACGAATCACAGTTGTAAGTTTGTGTGTGTGTGTGTGTAAGTGTATATGTATGTGTGTGTGTGTGTGTGAGATGATCAAGTCTGGGGGGAATGCAGATGTGCTGGGCATGCTTTGTCATATGACCTCATTGTTTCCTCTGTCATCATTGCTGGATAGAGCTGTGCAATGCAAGGCTGCTCCTTTTACCCTGAGTGTGCAGGAGAATACTGAACAAACAGCGCGTGCGCACGCGCACACACACACACACACACACACACACAGACACACACACACACACACACACAGACACACACACACACACACACACAGACACACACACACACATACACACACAGCCCAAGGCCAGTGGTTTTGCATAATTTGGTACAAACAGGTTTAGTTTGCCTTGCTCCTTAAGGCTATCCTATAAACCAATACTGTGTGACACAACGGTCCTCATGAACTTAGTTCACCTCTTGTAGGTGTGTACTGCTTGCATGGGAATATTCAAAGTAGCTACAGCACATGGTGAAAGTGTTTACTTGTGTCCTTGTGTGCGTTGTTGTTTGTATGAGCTCCACATCTCTTCTTATAGTCTTTATCATTATCTCCTTGTGTTTTAGATGTGAACGTGATGCTGCGCAAGATCGCGGTGAAGGCAGCCTCCAAGCCACTGGTGGAGATCACGCAGGACAAGGAGACTCTATCTATTAAAACCTCAACCACAGTCCGCACCACCCACATCACCTTCACTGTGGGGCAGGAGTTCAATGAGGCCACGGTGGACGGACGTCCCTGCACGGTACACAACACATGGACACGGACCGATTCCTAAATGTTCTCTCAGTTCTACTTTCTCTGCATATGCACACACTTATAACCAAACACACACACACAGCAGTAATGGGCATATGGGGAGGGAGCGGTCCAGATTACATCAATCTGTTTAATTTGGCTTTTCATCATATTTGGACTGATAGCATATCTTTACCCCTCCTGGTCTCTGAAGGCCTATCATGCTACACTGCGCTCCTTCACACTCTTAACGACCCCTTTCAACTTCCCGTCTTCCCTCCATTCCCCCTTCTTGCCCTTCCTGCCCTCTGTCCCTCCCTAATTCTCCACGTTGCTCTCCCCGTTTTCCCATAGACGGCCTCTGTTTGGCCGTCTCCAAAGCAAACACATGCAACCAGCCAGCGCTCTGCTGTACAAATGATGAGCGCATCACAAGTTATCACCTCTCAGTGATCGCCCTGCTCCACCTTACTTGTTTTCTCTCACTATTAGCCACTCCCTGTGTACCCCCTCTTCCCATTGGATGGCATTGTATTCATCTGTGCATCCATTCATCTATACATCCAACAATTAACATGCCTCTAATGTTTTTTTCTCCTTCTCTGTCCTCAGAGTTTTCCACTTTGGGAAACAGACAGTAAGATCAGCTGTGAGCAGACTCTGCAGAAAGGAGAGGGGCCTAAGACATCCTGGACCCGAGAGATAACCAATGACGGCAAGCTGATCCTGGTAAAGCACAGAAATTATCCACTAAGCCAGAGTTTAGAAACCAACAAGGCTTATACTTCACTGTAGACTACAAAGCAGAAATTACAGTGTATCTGTCTGTAGTTTTGGACTTGGGTCACATGATTACATTTTTGGATTTGAAATTATTTAACTCCTCCCAGAGAAAAAAATGTTGAATTTAATACTTGACCTTGAAAAGAGTAGCATGACAATAAGACAAAAGAAAAACTTAACTCCAGGTCCACTGACTAACTTTTTTTTTGAGCTTTCAACCATATCTCACATACTGAGTAACGAAATGAATGTACATTGTAGTTATTTAACACCCTGTTTGCCATATCTAAAAACTTCTAAAGACTTTATTCCACGAGTTGACACCCAGATATTACTGTATCTTGCAACAACATTCAAAAAGTACCTGGTAATTAAAAATACTTGCAGTGCATTTTTTTCAACATGAAAATGATTATTTTTCATTATTATTATCATTATTTAATTTTCAGTAAATTCTGGTCTTTCCCCCTTGTACTGACATTTTTTAGTACTGGTAGCTGCCACTAAGTATTTTATCAGTTCCCGCATTTGTAAAACATGATTACACTGCAAGTTGCAGGCTATAGTCTAAAGTGTAGCCTTTGAATGTATAATTATAGCACGATAACGGCAATCTAATTATTCTCCTGGCCGAGGATGAAAGAACATTTGTCGAGATTACAAAACGTGTACAGGCTTCAGCTTGAAGTCACGAAAGTGAGTGTGCAGACAGCATCTATGCTGTTAATGTTAATTTCACCAATAATTACATTAGTGATGTTGACTGTGAAGGTTGATAAGGTGCCCACCCAGCAACAGACCTGTATTTAATAAGAAACCCCAGCTGAGACTTCAGGCTGACTGAAACAACCTTTAAGAAGTATTGGTAAACCAGTCCAACCAGGTAAACCAGAGATGACACACACATCCTCCACAGTCCTCTCTGGAATAAATTGTGTTTCAATTGAACAAACTGTAAATAGAGCAAATAGTTATGGGGCAATGCTTGCTTGAGGGTCTAAGACTCCTGACATGGTAAGAATCAAGTCCAAAGCAGTTTGTCACAGTCAGAGTATATTGGCCTTAACTGCTGGAGACATTACAAATTGCTCAGTTTGGAGGTTCAGAGTATCAACATTAAATGCATGTTCTGCAAAATACTTAACTTTTAATATGAATTCACACTGAATAAGATAACTAACTGTGCCAGTATTTTTGCCACAGTGCATGAAAGCATCCATAATAAAAATAATTTTCCTCTTTCTTTTCAGACCATGAGAGCTGATGATGTGATTTGCACCAGAGTCTATGAACGACAATGAACAAGAGCACTTCTCACTTTTCCTCCTTCCAGCCCCCCTCTCCTGCATCACTACTTGTGTCACTACTCCCTTTTGTCAAGGCAGCGCTGGGAGATAGCAGTCTTTAGTTTTATTCCAGTATCTCTCTTAGCTTCACTACATAATAAGTTTAGTAATTGTATCTAGTATGTCACATATCTACACAATAGTCTTAGTTTCTGAGTTATGTGTCTGTCTTTTCAGCTCACTCAAACGTGACCAGCGGGTTTTAAACAGGAAAATGTATGTTGCATTGTTTGTTAGATTTGCTTAGGGGAAGCTCATGTAGTTGGCATTGTGTGTGTGTGTGTGTGTGTGTGTGTGTGTGTTGTGTGTGTGTGTGTGTGTGTGTGTGGCAGCAGAAGAGGTGTGAGACTATATTTGTAGATGTGTAAACCAATCTATGAGCTCTTCCAGTTTCAGGTCAGTTTTGATGTGTCCCTCCTCTCTGTTGCTTTAGCGTTGTCCCACAACTTTAACCTTTTCTATCTCATGATGACATTTTGTATTTATTACTACATTAGAGTCTGATACAATACTGCTAAGGTTTTTACTTTGTGTCTCTTTTATATGAAATGTGATCATAGGAAACAACACTTTCTATGGGAAAACAATAAAGCATGATATTAACTCAGTTTGACGTCAACTCTTGGCTCATGGCTCTTGGCTGTACAGAAAATCATTTAGCATTCAACAGTGCATATGTTTTATGGTTTGTGAGTGTAGCTGTAGAATATGGGCACATTAGATGGCTCCATCTTATTTTAGGCTTTCTGTCAGCTGTCTGCAACTAGAATAACTCGTCTGTCCCCTCCCTACTAGCCTCCCTCTCAGTTTTTCTGTCTTCCCATCCCTGCCTTCCTTCTCTCTCTGTCAATCATCTCTGTGCCACATGCCCTCGTTCTTCTTCTATCACTATGCGTCAATGCGGAAAATGTTTCCATTTCATTTTTTTCTCTGTCTGCTCACTTTTATCACACACTTCATGTGGCTCTGCTCACCCTGCAATTTTTCTCTTGGCATGTGAAGCAACACACAGAGAGCCAGGAGCAACAATGCCACTATTAGACCCTGCTCTGTTTCCATTTCATTTGATGGTTAGTTCAGTGATTCAAAGGAGTGGTTTGATTTTTTGGGAAACATGTTTTCTTGTCAGTAGTTAGCAAGAAGAATGATATCAATCAATCAGTACTTTCAGTCTGTACAGTAAACAGATATGAGCACAGCATCAATATTTTCTTTGGTTCTGGGCAAGAAACAGGATACCTGTATGTCAACATATTCCTTTAAACATCCTCATGGAGGGAACATCTGTTGTTATGGTAACCAAGGAGGGTAGTGAGACAAATAGAGGTCAACCTGGGACCTTTTTGGGTCAGACAGTCAACTATCTGGCCAATCACCAAATGGTCAGAGACTGAGGATCAGCGGGCGTGTCCCCAACAGCAGGAAATGCCAATTGGATTACAGGGTACAGCTGATTGACAGCAGATGTGCTTAACAAGGAGTGGGCTGTTAAGGGACCTGGAAATGGAAAAGGGACTGGGGAGAAAGATGGATGACCTGGGATTCACACGCACACACACACGTACACACACACACGTACACATATACATACAGTAATACAACAAGTAAAAACTAGATGAGGATGGATTCCTGAGATAGGAATTTGGGGATGCTGAAATTTTTTTTCACAAACTATCTCTTTTTTATGTCTCTTCTTGCCCTGCAGCTGTGTGTAGTTACAGTGTGACCCCAATAAAGTATCCTCCTCTGCCTCCTGCCCTAATAAAAGGGGTAAATAACTACCCCTCCCTCTCTGTTTATTACCCCCTGGGGCAGTAAAAGGCAGCTGTCTGGCCCCCTTCAAAACGCCTGGCCTGCACCGGACCCCTGTAAAAAAAAAAAAAAAAAGAAAGAAAGAAAAAAACACACACACACACACTCATTCACATACCAAACTAAAAACACATATTCTGGGAACTCTTCACACATACCATCAAACACTCACACTGTACATGCAGCTCATAAAACACTTCAGACAAACTGCATGGTGCACAAAGCCCTATAAAAACACCTAAAACATGTAGCACCACAAGAAAGTCTGCAAAAACAAAGAGCAAACTGAGCACACCATCTTCGCTGTGACATCCTGACAGCACTGTTATCACTGCAGGTTGTTGGCTTTGCAGAAAACGACGTAACGAGAAAGAGAAGACGCATGAAGAGTTTGGCAATTTCGGGACAAATATACTCTCATAAACCCATACACTCCATAAGCCAAGAACTCCACAGGGATATACCATAGAAAAGAGTAAACACACACACACGCACACACGCACACACGCACGCATACCAACTAAATAAAAAACACCTGTATGATGAATGAATACACCAACACATTACTAATGCACATCATCCATCAAAATGAAGTAGAAATCTGATATCCTTTAATATGTCTAACAAGGTAACCAAAGGCAATTAGCAGATATCTTGATTAAAACCCAACATTTATGTGAGAGGAGATTACTTTAGGTGCCCTGGGGCCATGGCTGAGTCAGGGTGCAGTTTGAACAGTTTGAAGACTTACGTGAAGGTAGGAGTGGAGTGTGTGTACTTGTCTGCATTCTTGAGCGTTTGTCACAAAAGGCAAAATGGGTGATTTGTGATCTGGTTGAAGCAATTATTGCCATGTGGGTCAAGTACATTCTGGGTTAGATAGTAAAGAAGTGGGAGGCCTTGTAACGAAAATGCCCTGCAGGTGGCAAAGCGGGAGAGGATGATGGGTAAAAAGAGGCACAAGCCCACATATCTTCATGATAGTTAGCTGTTGCACATACACACACATAGTCATAGAAAGAACATGCATGTGACAGTGTGATGACAGGTGAACGTCATTAAACACCCTCACATACTGTACTGTCTCTGTTCAGGATACTGATTTACACTCACACACACCTGCAAGCCTGCTCAAACGGATACACACAACAGTCATACACACTTTACAGTGGTAAAAGTGCACCAATCTCCTGTGGCAAGCGCAATTAGACCACCCAGGAACCTTTGAGGCCTCTTGTAAAACATTGGTCAAGAATAGTATACATGAGGGCATACCACACACACACTGCCACTCTTACATCGTTATAGTTTGAATGTTTACGGGAGAAAGTAGAGAAAATAAATCACAGAAACCACACTGGCCTTCTTGACATCCACGTAGACCACCAATTTTATACAGTCACACGCTCACACACAGAAATGAGGTTTTACATATGATTTTAAAATTAAATTACACACAGGAAAGACAGGAGAGAGTGGGAAAGGCATGCAGTCAAGGCTTGGTTTGGCACCTTAGCCCCCTGAGCCACACAGGACACTAAAAGCAACAGCCTTCAAAACCTCTTCTCTTTAATGCCTGGGTAGAGAATCCTTCCATTTGGGAAAATAAAACCAAAGAGGAGCGCAATGGACAGACATGGAGAGGCTGAGTCAGAAAGTAAAGAAGGGATGAGGTAAGGTCGAAAGTTTCCTATAACTTCCTAGTCTAATTTTATAAAAGATGATTCATTCACTAACACACAATCTAAAGGTTAATTATGTACTTTGCTCAGACATCTACAGATCTACCGTCAGAGAATCCCCGAACTGATATCACTTGTCTGGCATGAGCATCATCATCCTCCTCTTGCACTAACTGTGGGACAATGTTCCTACAGTTTAGCAGAGGTAGGCTGAATGAAGTCTTTGTAGAGATGAAGAATGTAATAATAAATCTGATTACAGACTCAAACGCTGACCTCTGGATAGGCAGATGGAGATAGGGGAGATGGAAGAAGCTGTTTGAAGACAGAGTACAAGCAAGGCCCACAAACTGATTATATTGCAAGCTCCCAAAAAATGGAAAAATTCAACAAACTTTTCGGGCAAAGATAAATAACAGATCCATTTTTTTCCATACTAGCAAAAAACATACATACAATATGCAACATTGCACACATTGTTCTTACATTTTTCCCACAACATTTCGACACTAGGCTGTCAGCTCTGTTTGCACTGGCCACTTTATTCATTACACCTGTACAATTTGTTGCAATTCAGTACAGCATCTTTGTCATAAAAACTATCTATACAACAGTTATAATGTTCAGAAATGTGTAAAAAAACTATTACTAAGATCATAGTTAATGGTGGTGTTGTACTGGACTACATTGTATGGAGGCATTTCTAATTTTTTGATTTTATGACAGAGTGGTTGTATTAGATTGCAAAGGTGTACCTAACAAAGTGGCTCTCTCTCACATCATCTATCTATCTATCACATTAACTGTGGGGGGCTTGCAATATTCCCCAGTACCTCTCCTTCATCACCACAACAGTACAGCTGTACTTGATTGTTGAACATCTCATTCCAAACCACAAGCATTAATATGCTACTCTGGCAGCACACTTTCCACAGCATTTTGTGACCTGGTTGCATGGATTTACTCCCATTCAGCCAAAAAAGCATCAGTGAGCTTGGTCTGGGGTCTTGTCATATTGAAACAGGAAAGTTGGGGAACACTTTTGTGGAAAATATAACTGTATTTTATACACAGATGTAGGTGGCCTTTGATCATATAACATGTACACAATATGAAAGAAGGAGAGAGTAAGAAGGGAGGCGCCCGGGAGGATCATCAGGCATTACAGGGTGATCAACTGTCATAACTCCATGACTCATTCCTTTTTTTATAGTATCAGCTCACTGTAAATATACACACACACCAATGCACAAAGGAACACACACACTCAGGTGCACACATATGCAGGCCTATTCCCATTTCACCCAGGACTTGTTTTGTTAGTATAAATGTATCCTCCACAGCTACTGTGTTTTTGTTATGGATCAACTGATTCTTTACTCAGAACAACCTGGAGATGAATGCATTCGATCTATTAAGCTTCAAGTGATCCCTGTGAGCCTCGAGGGAATCAAAGAGGGTCAAAAGGGGTAAAAGATCTAGAAAATTTAAAAGGAAAAGTAATAGCTGGAGTTACATCAGTGTTACTTTTAAAGAGCCTGCATCTGATTACTGCACACATGAGGTTCAGCTTGTCACCCTGTCTCTCTTTTCCTCTTTCCTCCTCTCCCTCCTTTACCCTTTCCATCTTTTTCCTCTTTTGACCAGCTCCAGACGGCAGCCAAGCCAAAGCATACCGGAGACCAGCATGTCATAGCTGGACACAGTGTAGTGCTGGCTGAGGTGTGTTGTGGTGTCGTTTGATTGGTTGCAGAGGACTGTGATTTGAGAAACAGGGTGGAGGAAGCACACCTTGTAAAAGAGAAAAAAAAAAAAAAACATGGACTGCTTCATGCAAACTCACACAGACACACACACTGAAACACGTGTGTGCCCGAAAAAAACCCTAAAGCCGCTACCCACAAGTTGCTGTATGTGTGAGAGAGGAAAAAACAGTCTGTCTTCTTAAGAAATATCAACGCACACTGGCAGAAAAATATCATGTAAACCACTGGTGTAAAATCTTGGCACGGCTCCTGCCAAACCCAACAAGAATGACGTCTCAGGAGCACCTGGTGACGGATAGAAAACAGGCTCGTCTACTAACACTACATTGTCACTACCGTCTATCTTA